AAATGAACCATTCTAGATTGTGAAACTGTGTTTGGAATGTAGATTGGCTGCAGGAAGTCAACATTGTTTGACATGTATACTATACCTTACCCCTTATCTCATGTTCTGCATTCAGCTTCAAAGAATAAGACTATTCCTTTTGGGATCTACTCTATGCATTGTGATAACACATTCTAGATAGTCAAACAGTGTGGGCAAAGAATATTGGCTTCAACAGTTGAATAACATGTTTTGCAAAGAAGCCTGTGAGTAAATCTTGTCTCGCATATCCTGGCCTAACTATGTACCTTTGGACACTAGGAAATCAATACTAGACTCTATGAATGAAGGGCTTCCAGACAATACCACATTTCCACATATAGTAATTCAACAGCCCGGCCGGTTTTGCCTGCCGGCCAGCCATTTTTGCGCACCGGCCGGCCAGTTTTGCCGAGCACCGGCTGTTTTTGCCGGCCGGTGAAGTAGAAGCTTCAGCCGACCGGTCAATCCAAAGCTTCGGCGGTGAAGGAAAGCTTCGGCCAATGAAGTAAAAGCTTCGGCCAATGAAGTAAAAGCTTCGGCCAATGAAGTAAAAGCTTCGGCCAATGAACTAAAATGCCCGGCCAATGGTTTGAAATGTCCGGCCTATTGATTTGGCCCTGTAGGGACAACCTGGCTAATTTTATGGCCAGTAAAGCCAAAACCTGGGTGAGTGAAATCTCTGGCCAGTTGATTTGGCCAGCCAGTGGGGCTCTTTTGTGTTTTGCAGCTTCACTAGGCATCCCTAAGTCATGGGAAAATTATGCTGTGATCTACTAATGATGGTATACCCCATAGGTGCATAATACACATATAGTATTTCAATAGCCCCAGGGGACTGTGACCGGCCGGACCGTTTGAAGCAGGACAACTCCTGCCCGGCCGGCCTGTTGTGGAGTCAGTTTGTTTAGGCTGGAGAACCCATCCTGGACCAGATAGATTTCACTCCGGCCGGTCCGCTTGCAATGAAAGGATTTTATCCCGGCCGGAACATTTAAAGTGGTGGGGCCTGAGTCCGGCCACTCTGTTTGCAACGTGGACTGGCCGGCCGCTCTGTTGTGTATGCTAACCCTGCCCTCCACCCGGCCTGTTTGCAGTGATGCTGTATGGGTCCGGCCGGACTGTTGCCTCTGCAACCGGACTGTTTACAACAGGCACATTGCCTCAGCCAAAAGCCCGGCCGGCCTGTTGCAAGCGGTGCATTGTTGCTAACAGTAGACCCGGACTACTCCGGCCGGAGGCGGCTCTACCGTTTGCAACGGTCAAAATGCACTCCGGCTGTACCGTTAACAGCGAGGTTTTCCACTGAATGGGCTCGGCAGATGTACTACCTACTTCCTGCCGTACCAACTTGAACGCCCTTTCGCACTCTTGCCCCGACCGGTTTACTACTCGCTTTCAGCACCACGCGTCGCGCCTCCTCTCTACCAACCGATTGAACTAGTACTTGGCACGTACTCTGTGCCGCCAACAGCGGGAAGCTGCTCCTACCCTGCCGGGCGGTCTGGTACGTCCAGTCCGTGTTCCAGATTTGTCCTATTAGTACCCAATGAGCATGAGCATAGCGAACTTGAAGACGACTCCAGCGGGTGCGTACGCACGCAACTCAGGCCCACAAGTTCAAATTCAACATCTACGCACCTGACAAGCCTCAGTAGTGATCAGTTGATATGATTCTCAATATATTTCATTGACTCACTTTCTAATGTCCTGGCTGAATGGCGCAAGATCTGAGCGGCAGTCTGACAGCAGCCTTTGCAAGTACACATTGAGTATCATTCAAACCGGACTAACTAATAGTACATGATCAATTCGCAGCCCTCAGTGACCCCCCATATTCCGTAGTACCGCATACACCGGCATCCCCATTACCTGATACTAACACCTACTCTAGTCCTCCTCCCCATCCCACTTCACTTCCTCCACCGTACAGCCCACCTCGCCCAGCACCGGACGCACGGCCGCGAGCCGACGTTGCGAGCCCCACCACTGCCCCTCGACATGCCAATCAGCACGTATGAGCTGACGGCGCTGCGGCATGTCCACCGGCCACAGGAACTCGAGGTCCATGATGTTCCTCTTCATCGAACACATGGGCTTCAAGGGTTGAATGCCGAGTGAGTGCTCGGCGGCGTCCTCGACGATGGTGAGGGTTGAGTCCTTGAAGACGGGGATGTAGGTGAGGGGGAGCGGCAGACGGAAGGAGGTGGAGCCGGGAGCGCGGTGTACGGACGCAGGACGGAACTTCCCCAGTTTGACGTCGAAGAGTTCGAATGTCGCAAGTTTCCGGAAACAATTCTTCTTGTACTTGTTGTACGCACCGATCACCTGCATGGCGATCGGCTGGTCGAAGGAAAGCTCAATCTCCCCGTTGTACAAGTCCCACACAAGGGGCAACACCATAGGGGGGTATGCATCCTGAGCCTTGTAAGCGGTTGCCCAGCATTCAGAACACTTATTAGCACTCACCAAGGTATAGACCAGCGTCTCCACTATGACCTTCATAGGTACAATCATCCTCCACCCCGGCGCGCCGTGAGGAACCATCGGCCTCGGTACCACCTCGTCAGGCGTGTTCCGAGGATCCCGCAACCACTCCTCCATGAACCCGAGCAGAATCCATCCGCCCAGCCTAGCGGGTGGATCAAGAATGTCCATTAGGCTGCGGACGTACAGCAGCGTGTTGTCGTCTATCTGCACCGCCAATAGCA